ATAAAGGATAAATAAGTAAACTTATTTAAGAGTTTAAAATATTAAGGATTTTCAGTCATGCCCATGTTTCTTATTTCGACATTCAGAAAAGTGAATCCTAGAAGGATCCAGTAGTTTGCCTATGGGCAGATGAACAGGTATTCAATGATATTTAAACCACCCTGTGTCCCCAGCTTTCACCCACACGCTACCCAGCCTACTATTCTTTAAAAGAAATTCTGCAATGTTCTGCCTCCACAATCTTAGCAGCCACTTCTGTTGGAAGGAATGAGGCTGCTGGATCAGCATAGGAAAGCTTCACTTTGCAAACACAAAAACCAGAGACAGCTCTACATGAGCCCCACAGCTTCTGATGACTCGATGTCTGCTTTCTTCCCAGGCCCCACATCCACCAGCTGCACCTCAACACTTCTGCCCTGGGACCCCCACAGCTCCGCTAGAGACTGGTGGGGCTGTTCTGCTCTGTCCTACCAATTTTGGTTAAAGCGGTGGCTTTCGAGCCGTCTTTCAAAAGCTAATCTACGTCAAGCCAAGTTTTATCTGGAAGCCCAGATCTATAAACAAAAGTCAAAGGGCTGGGTGGCTCTAGGAACCACTCACAGCCACTGTTCCTGAAGGCACAAAAGAGGTCACGGGCCCCAGAGCTGGGCTTCCCCTCTAGCACTCTAGTTTCCTTTTTTGTCTATGGCTTTTTGGGATCATCTTTACATCCCTTCTACATCCGGTACCCTACCACTACCACCACCATAAATGGCTGAGCATCAGAAGGCGCTTGTCCAGACACTCTCCTGTTTCAATTCTCACACTCATTTGATACGATTAAGCGCAATTAATTTATTGTAAATGGCAGGAAAACTGAGGTGGAGAGAAACTATGGGAAAATAACTGGCTTTTTTTTTTTTTTTGTCCTTTGTTTGTTTGTTTGGAGACAGGGTTTCTCTGTGTAGCTTTGGAGCCTTTCCTGGAACTCACTCTGTAGCCCAGGTTGGCCTTGAACTTACAGAGATCTGCCTACCTCTGCCTCCCTGGGATTAAAGGCGTGTGCCACCACTGCCTGGCTGAGAATAACTGGATCCTATGCTATGTTGTGAAATTTTTAAAAATCAATTATAGTTAGCATGTGTGTGCGCCTGCACACGCGCACATGTGCATGCCACATGCCAGAGTGTGTGTGGAAGTCTGAAGGCAATTTATGGATATCAGTTCTCTCCTTCTCCCATATCCAGTCCCAGGGATAGAACCTGGGTTGGCCAGCTTGTCAGAAAGTGCCTTTGCCTGCTGAGCCATATTGCTGGCCCCACTGTTTTTTGTACTGGTAACAGTTGGGCACTCACAATGCAGTTCAGATAGTGGATCTATCAGGGGTTGTTTTATACATTTTAGTCTCCTCCTCTATAAAACACAGGCCATGAATTGTACAGGTCTTTATTCAGCTACAAGTGGCCTCCGGAGTCCCGTTTTTCCTAACTTGACTTGTTTTCAATGTCTTAATATAAAATATCCAAGAAAACATACTGCTTTCACTAGAGGAACTCTTGGATGTTTTTCCCAAGTCAAATGCTGGAAGGCAGAAAACCTTTCTTTCTTGTTCAGTGATTTTTAACATTTGTTCTTGGAGTGAGAAATTACATCTCACTGTCAATAGTAACAAACACTACTTTCCAAGCATTTCTTCTTTCTCAGTTTCTTAATGCTTTTGGAGTTTGGTTTTTTGTTTGTTTTTTTTTTTTTTAGTGTATCAATGTATTATTAAAAGTAATAGTTCACAGAGTATCAACTTATTATTAAAAGGTAATAGTTCGCAAAGTATCGACTTATTATTAAAAGGTAATCCTCCGCAGATAAAGACAAGCACAGAGAGCACTGGAAGGTGTTTGCAATACCCACCGATGATGCTCAAAAATACCACTTTGACATTTACAAGCAGTGGTGCTTCCCAAGTCAAGTCCCTTCAACACTCTGCAGGGAATTTCTCTTAAGCATTGCATTAATCTTCCTATGTCCAGTCTGTGGTCAGATATACCCTCATCTTCCAACAAATGGACCGCCTGTTTTTAAATTCATCTCATTTGGTGTGTATTGGTGGTTTGCGTGTCTGCATGTATACCTGTGCACCATGGTGTACTTGGTGTCAAGGAGGTCAGATATGGACATCGGATCCCCTAGAACTGGAATTACAGAACCCAGGTCCTCCAGAAGAGCAACCAGTACTACTGACCTCTGAGCATCTCTCCAGCTTGTGACCACCTATTTGAAATTTGCAGCTCCCCAAACTTACTCTCAGCATCCACCAATAAAGTAGCATCTCCAGGAGGCTATTTTCCAGTGACCTACTTTAAAGCATCCATTGGAGCTTTGTATTAACCGATATTCTTAAAATCTGTATAACATAGAATCACTGGGAGATAATAATTGAGACTGAATTACAGCCAAAATAATGATCTCTTGATCTGTTTTAAATTATTATGTATTTACTTTTTTTTTTTGCAGCAGTAGATGTTGGACCTAGGGCTTCACACATAGAAGTTCTCTAGCCCTGAGCTACATCCTGAGCACTCTGTCTCTAAACTTTTGACAGAATAGGCCATCTAAAGCAAACTGTTCTGAAACCTCCTTACAGAACCTCATGAAAAATGTAGGTGCCTGGACCCTTTCCCGGGCTTACTGAATCAGTTCCTTGGATGGGGGCCCAATGTTTCATAAGCACCACAAGCAACGGTGATGATGTGCATCCAAGTGCCGCCTGCCCTTTCTCCATTCACCCAACAACACAGAACCATGATGAGTGTGAGGGTCACTTTTCACTGTCAGCTTGCGACAATCTAGAGGTACCTGGGAAGGGAGTCTCCATGAGGGATTGTCTACATGAAGTTGGTTTGTGAGTGTATCTGTGGGGGCTTATCTGGGTTGCTCTAATTGGAGTGGAAAGACCTCCCCACTGTGGGTGGCACCATTCCCTGGGCGTGAAACGCCCATTATATTAGAATGGAGAAAATGAACTGAGCGCTAGTATCCATGCATTCATTCATTCATCTCTGCTGACTGTGGGTGTGACGGAAGCAGGTGCTTCAAGCCCCTGCCACCTTGACCTCCCATCAATGATGGACTGTAATTTGGAATCAGGAGCCAAATAAACCCTCTCTCTAAAGTTGTTTCTGTTATTCCCAACAACAGAGAAAGAAAACTAGGATCATGAGCCTGGTGTGGTGGCACGTCCCTGTCATCCCAGCATGGAATAAAAAGATCACACGTTTGATGAGGTCAGGCTGGTCTACACAGGAAAATCCGAATTCAAGAAGCAAAACAAAATGAAAGACACACACACACACACACACACACACACACACACACACACACACAAAAAAAAAAAAAAAAAAAAAAAAAAAAAAACCATGACAACAAATCTCCCAAATACTTGAATTTTGTGCTGGTGATGCATGTAACTCAACAATAAAAGACTTACTTAGCAAATACAAGGCCTTAATACTACATTACCCCCCCACCCCCGCTTCCAACACCCTGGGTGGGAGCTGGTTCAACAAATGAACATCTTCTATTAGTATACACAAAACTTAGAATAATAACACATAGCGTCTTTTTAATGTTATTCCCTGGGTCGCCAGTTACCCAGAAACTTGGAAGAAAAGGACTATGATCTATGTTTCCAAAAGGACTTCCTCCTCATCCCCATCTATCTGGTACTTAAGACTGAGAGGGAGAGCCAATAGCTGTCTTGCTTTGCTCACCAGACCCTCAAGTGAAATGTGCACACAGTGTCAGCTATATATTATGACTCTCAGTGCTAGGGAACAGACTCGGGGGCCTTGTGCACACTAGGCAAGAATGCTTTTAAATCTGGAATGTCTTGGCACGCCAAGGAATCTGCATAAATCTGTGTGTGTGTGTGTGTGTGTGTGTGTGTGTGTTTCAAATTCTTCACTGAGGTTAATGAGCCAAACCCTAACTACACACCACACACACACACACACACACACACACACACACACACACACACACACACACACACACACATCAACCCATAAACCAGTAATGTATACCTAAAGACAGAACTGCCTCTGTTTCATATACTAATACCAGTAAGTATATTTTATATTTCATTGGTTTTTCTCCCTAGTACAACTCTTACATCACCTATGTTCTCTAGTCAATTATCACATAGCCGAGAGCCCCAGAGTTAAGGGATTTTCACTCAATTTTGCTTTTCTTCCCCTTTAGGTCATCAGATAGAACTAGGCTGTCCTCCAGCTCATGATGCTCCTGCCTCAGTGTCTTGAGTCACTGTCTGCGTATGTCCCCACGCCTAGCTCAAATTTTGATGATCCTGAGATCATCTTCAGTCGTCCAAGTAAGTATAAAACCTCTCTCCTAGATCCTGAGAGTACGTACGACCTAGTGCGTCTCAGCTGTACTTTGCTGACCCGAGTCTTCATCCCAGAGAAGCAAAGCAGAAAGCCGGCTGTGGCCGAGTCAACGTGTGTACAGAATGGCCTTTGTTGAGGGAAGGCTTCCAGGGTGACAAGCATGGAGATGAGTGACTTCTAGGGGGTGGGAGAAGCACCTCTTGCTACATTCACTGGGATCAAATCTCGTGCCACATATGACAACCTTTGTGCCGGGAGGGGAACACAGCGGTCGTAGGTGTCCTGGGGCTCAGCTTCCCACAAGATCAGGAAGGCATGTGGGCAGACATAGCCACACAGAGAAACCCACTCAGCATATAATGGGGAAAGGCCAGCCACTGTCTTTGACTGAAGAGGCCAGGACCAGAAAAGAACCAAAGTCACTGCGCTGGTGTTCAATGCGCCAGTTTTACAGACAAATCCTCCATGACCTAAACATCTCTCATCTGCTCTGCAGCAGCCTTTCAGACTCATACAGTCCTTGTCTTAGAAAACTATGTACTCGGGGCAGGAATGCCCTAATCTATGGCCATCAAGCAGCGGGAAGAGTCATAGCTGCCCAAATCGTTCCTTACTTACCAATTTCGTGATGTCTTTTACATTATCAGTCACAGGATTCCCGCAGATCTCCTTAGTTTTGACGAGAGGATTAAACAGGAGCAGTTGAAGATAAATGCAAGTGATAATCCAAGTCTAAACAAAAACAGAGAGACATTTCTTGGAGCCCATCGTTTAAAAAATCCATAATTATGCAAACCACTAAACCACCTTATACCATATGTGGTGAATGCAAATATACCAACGCCTTTTTAAAAATCTGATGGCTTAAATACAATTAAATGCTAAGCATTCAAGATGCTCTCACCAAACTTAGAAAGAGCAACAACAAGATACTCCTGGATACAATCCTGATTGAATTATTCCTTCAATGGCTTTACTGTTCATTTCTGTTGTAAGCTTTCTACAGCCGATTTCCTAATGGCAATTAGGGGTGAACTTGTAGCAACATGCAGAGGAATTATCACTTAGGGGGACCTCGGAAAAAGCAGGAATGCATGAAATTCATACCCTAAGGCTGAAGGGAACCACTTTCCTTTTAAATGTAGACAGTTTGGCAAGCAGGAACACAACCTTGAGAGGGACTTTCATTTAGATCTCTACATTAGCACACCATGCCACAGTAAGGCTGAGCGGTGTGTCTTTAGATCGAAGGCAGAATTTAACCTCATTTCCAAGACAGAAAGAGAATTTTTAAGACAGAAAGACAATTGTTGTGTGGAGTCAGTTTGTTAGTGGCTTTATAGGGAAAACATTTCATTAGCCAATAGTTAAATGTTTCTGAACTCTGGTGGGAAATTCTCTCTCTCTCTCTCTCTCTCTCTCTCTCTCTCTCTCTCTCTCTCTCTCTGTCTCTCTGTCTCTCTCTCTCCCTCTCCCTCTCTCTCTCTCCCTCCCTTTCTCTCTCTCTCTCCTCTGTCTCTCCCTCTCCCTCTTCCTTTCTCTCTCCCTTCCCTCCCTCTCCCTCTCCCCCTCCCTCCCTTTCCCCTATCCCTCCCTTCCTCTCTCTCTCCTCTGTCTCTCTCTTTCCCTCTCTCTGTCTCTCTCCCTCACCTCCCCCCTCCCTTTCACAAACACACACACACACCCCTCTAAGAAAATAACACCTTCCACCATGGATTAGTTATTTTTATTCATGACTTGTTTTTCTTCCTTCCAGATATCATAGAATTTTCAGAGCTTAAGCATCTGACTTGCTTTCTTTTTTCAAGCATCGACAAAACACTGACACCAGTGCCTTGCATACAAAAATCCCTCAATATGTGTTTGCTGGATGAATCCATGGCCCAGACCAAAAAAAAAAAAAAAAATCTTTTCTAATTCTCTAATCCAGGAACCATTTACTGAACAAGTGTCGGGAGACAGTGACTGCAGCAGTTGCTGGGGAAACACGGATGATGAAGACGTCCTTGAAACTCAAGAGGCAGGTAAATGCATAACACCTCAATCCATGATCAATGTTTTGGGAACACAGAGAAGAAGGCAATTCATCAACGCATCTTGAGGGGAGACAAGGAGAAGGCAGGCAGCTCCAAAGAAACCGAGGGAGACAATGTGACTCCGGTTAGATGGGAAAAGACAAGGACTTCTGTAGGCGACGGTAAAGAAACCATGACCCCGCTGCAGAACAAATAAATAACAGAAAGCAAAGGCGTGTGAAAGTATTTAAAAACGTTACATCTTTTATGAACCGGTGTTCGCGTGTGGCATTTTAAAATTCCACAGAAACACAGGTGCACATGGTAAGAATCTCTCCTGCTTCTGCAACTTTGCCACACGTTCAAAGGAACCAAATTATTACAATTTTCCATAAATCTCTGCACACCGACCCACTGGACCACATGGCCGTTTTCATTTGCTAGAAGTTGTCACTATAATACTGCTTTGGTGGCTCACAAATGGAATTAAAGCCTCTTCTTCTTTCACTACTTGGGGTCTGCTTTAGCAATAATCCCACTTAAGTTTATTTAGCGCTGCTTTGAGCACTGTGGGGGCATATATACGCCCCATTAGACCATCTCCATGAGCCCATAGAAAAGACCAAGTTGTACAAATGATCTGTCTGGGGATCCTTGTTGGGGGGGAAAAAAACCTGGCACACACATTTCTCCTTGATATCACAATTTTCCTTCATGGGTATTTACTGCAGTTTGTCTTTCTTTCATATTGCCGATGCTGAGTTGGGACTCCCCCTGAAGATGAGTTCTCCAAGGCCCTTTATCCTGATAAGATTTGAGAAGCCTCCCCAAGGACCTTGGTCCTGGGCCTACTTGCCAACCTCTCCCAAGAATAATGTTCATATTGTAGGTCCTAGGAAGCATGGGGGCAGATAATGTTCCTTGTCTTCACCATGCACTATAACTGGCACGGAATGAATAAAAGCTGGAGAGGGAGGAGAGGGAGAGAGAGAAAGAGAAATGAAAATTTCTCATTCTTTCAGCAAATAGTTATTGGGTGCTTTCTTAACGATATATCATGTGCCACACTAGGATCACACACTGAACAAGAAGGCAAAATACCTCTTCCACCATAAACCTCATCTTTAACTTCGGTAGATGAACCATGAACAGGAGTAATATTGTGTTAGATAGCCTGCTATGAGGACTTAGGAAAAAGAACCATTAGAGAAAGAGGTGGGTACTCAAACAATTAAAACGAGATCCTTTGGACCTAAAAATCACAAATAGGCATGATTTGATAACAAAAGACCTGTTTTGAGTATGGGACAGGCATACTCAATTTCATCGGGCTCCCCTCTGTTGCCTGTCACAGCTCTCATGGTTGTCACACTGGTTTGTGACAAGCTCGCGGCGATGGAATCTCTGGGTGCCAATTTCCAACGCCTCTGGTGGTCCTCATCATTTTTAGTAAGAAGTAACTTTAAATTTTACTGAAGGCGTATGAGTGTTTTTCCTGCCTGTACATCTGTGCACCGCATACATTCCTGATGCCCACAGGGGCCAGCAAAGGGTGTCAGACACCATAGGACTGGAGTTATAAACAGTTTGTGGGTGCTGGGAATCGAACCTGGATCTTCTGAAAGAGCAGCCAATGTTCTTAAGCTCTGGGCCCCCAGTAAAGTATTTTGCTTCACTGTGCATGCTGTTAACTTAGATATACTGCTATTACACGCTTACTGCTATACAGTAGAGTATGAATATAAATGTTGTAAGTACAGGACAACTAAAGACTTTGTGACTCTCTTTAACTCACACTATCTCCAGCTTCAGAGAAAAACTCAGGACAGACAGCAAAAAGCAGATACAGATGAGCTGAATCTCAGCTTCTAAGTCGTCTCTGATGTTGCAAGTCGCTGCATACTTGGGATGCTCGAGGCAATGACAGAGGACAGTTATGCAGGACCACCACCCCCCCAGCTATAGAGACACTGAGAAGCTTCATCCTTTTACCAAAGTGGCTTTCCCTCACCAAGACTTACCACAGCAATTAAACACTAGTGATACTTCCACTGCTACCTAACATCTTCAGCTGTATTCTCTTGGGTGAAATATGGACATGCTACATGCATATCTTGAGTTCATGTGTTCGGAAACACTTATAGGGAGAATCAAATTCCCTGGCATCCCTGAGTCTAAAGAAAAGACCATCAGAGCTAGCCATTATCCTTCTAAGACTACAGCATGGGTGGAAACAGGCTGGTATTTTAAACACAGTAATCAGTGGGTATCTCCTAGGTATTTCCCCCCAAGGACTGGACAGAATTAAAGCAGTTCACTTAGACATCTGTGGGAAAATGCTGCTACAGAGAAAAGAGGATGCCAAGTCCCTAAGGTATACTGAAGGGATCATCTTTATTTAAAGAGCCAGAGTAAACAGGAGCAGCAGATGGCATCAGAGAGAATGGGGAGGCAAAATCAAGGGTATTGCAGTTCAGCTCAAAGTCCAGTTTTACTGTGCATGGAACAAGATTCATTGAGGATGGAACAAGATTCATAAGAGGGATATGAACAGATTTTGAATTAAAATAAAACGGAAGTAAATTAAGTAGGGGGCTAGTGGTAGAATGCTTGTTAACGTACCTAAAGCCTTGGGTTTGATCCCGGGCACCAAATAAACCAGGCATGGCAGGACCCACCTGTAATCCCAGCGCTCAAGAGTTGGAAGCAAGTTTAAGGGTCAAAATTTAAGGCTATTCTCAACTAGATAGCAAGTCTGAGGCCAGCCTGGGATACAAGCAACCGTGTCTCAGAATAAACATCTTAATTAATTAAACAGGCTCCTTTAAATAAATAAGACCACTGTGATTGCTGTAGGGTGACAAAAGGTAGAAACATTTTACAAAGAATAAAGTAAACTGGGCGGTGGTGGCGCACGCCTTTAATCCCAGCACTCAGGAGGCAGAGTCAGGTGGATCTCTGTGAGTTCAAGGACAGCCTGGTCTACAGAGTGAGATCCAGGACAGGCACCAAAACTATGCAGAGAAACCCTGTCTCAAAAAACAAACAAACAAACAAATGGTAAAGAAATACCAATGAAGAGTTACCCCTATAAGCCAACAAAGGATGATAACAAAAATGCATTGATCAGCATTCAAGAGTCTGGACCTGGACAGGCTGAACCCTGAGTCAGGAGACTTACAGCTGTAGTGTGACTTGAGACTCACACTCAACTCAAAGATTTGGACCTGAGCAAACGACTGGTTGTGCCAAATGAGATGAGTGTGGGGCAGACTAGAAGCCACACTGCGTGTAGAGTAACTTGTAAGGTCTTACAGTAGTGACACCAGGTCAGGACATTGGAATCTGGATTGGGGTTCGGAATCAGTTGGGTCTGAAAATGAAAATATGATCACCTTCCATAAATACACTGGATTCTAAACAAAAAGAATGGTCACCCAAGGATTCTAAATAGAAAAACTAACAAAGTACTGAACACCACACAGTGTAGAGTTCAGGTCCCACAGAAGATGAGAATGTATGCAGGAGCTGTACCAGTAGACATCAAAGGAGTAGGAAAAAACAAGTATAACCAACGCTAAGAGCGGAGTGTGGTATTGCGTGACTACAGATCCCGCCCAGCACTTGGGAGTCTGAGGCAGGTGGATCACAGTGCTGTCCTGGATTTACACAGTGACACCATGAGAAGTTAAGAAGAAAGGGTCCCACCAGGTGGTG